CCAGGGGTGGGGCAGGTACCTGAGCCACGATGCACACCAAGGACCACCACACACACCAATATCATCAATGCACTTTTATTCAGGCTTTCTGAAGTATTTATTGCTCAAGACGGTACAAGTCTGTTAAAGGGACAGCTGCTGGTCAGTGGGGGCTTCCCAGTTAATGCTGTGGGAAGACATGAAGCAGGCTACTTGGAAGGAAGGAAATCCATTTCTGCTCATTTGCCATGTTATTCAGGAGTTGTTCCTCTGATCCTCAAGGCAACAGCAGCAGCCTGGGGGCAGGCCGAGTTTCTCCTCCCTATAAAGACAGGATTATTATGGCCCAGAAGCATCGAGGCTGCCTGCTAATAGACAAGCTCAAGGCAGGGACAGCCAAAAATGTCTCTCCAGTAAGGGTTTCCTCATTCTGCGCCAGAGAGTTGGCACCAGAGAGTGAGCTCTGCTCCCTGAGCACATCCAACCTCTTTCTGCTCTCCATTCCCACCTCTGACCAGTGCTGCCAGTGGACACAGGGGCTGTTGCCACAGAGCAGTCACCTCCCTGCACAGCTCCTGATGCCCTCAGCCCTGACTCCTACCCAGCAGGTCCTGGCTCTTCCCCCACATTGGGATTGATCCCTTTGCCAGATTTCAGCTGGGTTCAGACCAGTGATGGGTTCAAGGGCTGCTTTGGCTTCAGAGTAAGCCCAGGGTACAACCCCGTGTTCCCACCCAGCACAGCCCCGCTGCCCTCCCCACTCACCACGATAAACACGTGCAGGAGCAACAAATGCCACATTGGCATTCACAGAGACATCCATGTTCTGACTCATTGCTATGGCTGCAGGGAGGACAGAGCAGCGTTAGGGTGCTCCCTGTGACCCACATCTCCCCCTCCCACCAGCACCAGAACCTCCTTCCCAGAAGCACCCAGGGAGCAGAGCGGGGAGTGAGGGTTGGGGTGCAGGGATGGGGACACCCATGGGTGACAGGAGAGGAACAGTGTGCAGGGCTGCAGCAGTGGGGCAGGTGCTTACCTACAATTGCAATGCCTATGACGAAGAGTGCAAAGCATGTCACAGGAACTGGAAGAAAGAAAATAACAAATGTTCAGGAGTTGGGCACTAAAGCTCCTCCAGGCTGGAGCCCGGGTCCCTGTGCCAGGCAGGGCAGGGTAGGGCAGGGCCCCTCTGGCAGCAGCAGCTCCCCCAGCACCGCCCTTCTTCAGCCCTGGAGACACCCGGGAGGAGAGGGGAGAAGGGGCGAACCCCAGGCTCCCTGTGCTCCCCACATTGTCCCACTGCAGGTCCTGTGTCCCGACCCATCGAGCCCCCCAACTTACCCATGGTGGGCTGGACAGGATCGAGAGCTGCGATCAGTCTGCTCTAATCCCGGTCCCTTGGGATGCAAGAACAAGATTTTTTTCGTAGTCTGCTGTTGGGGTCAGCAGGGCTTTGTTGCCCTGCACGGTCACCCCCAGCCGCCCCTCTCCCGCCCAGGAGACCCCGGCCTCCTCCCCTCACAAGAAGAGCCTCCCCAGCCCCGGCTCCTGCCCGGCCAGATTTTGGTGGCTGCTTCACCTGCGCAGTGAGATGAGAAGCCCCCGTTAGTGTTCCCCCCTCAGGGAAAGGGAGCTGTCCCCAAATACCCACCGTGGGCAGCGGCACCTCACACCACCAGAGTCTATTGTGCTCTGACAGGAAAAGTTGGAGGCTGAAACGTCCGGTCAAACAGGGCCTGGTCAGCTGAATTTCCAAGAAATTTCTGGAAGTGTTCACTCAGTTTCGCTTTCTGGTTAACTCTTGATGTTGCTGCCTCTGCTAGCGCAGGGCTGGGGCTCTCCCATCCTCAGGGCCGCACCCTGGGGGTGTCCCTGCAGGGAGCCCTTTCCCCCCAACACCTCGGGCTGGAGCTGAGGGGAAGGACGCGCTGGGCTGGGCGCTCCTCAGGCCTGTGCCAGGGCTCCTGTGGCTCCACGGGGCTTTTCCCCAGCAGGTTTGGGACCGATGAAACTCCGCAGCTCTAAGGAGCACCCACAGCAGTCTGGAGGGCAGAGCTGAAGCGCCCTGCCTGCCTCCTCCACAGCGGGCAGCCTCCAAAGGCAGCCCAATCCCCTCTCTGCATCCCCCATTGCTGCTGCTGCTGCTGCACTGGGTCAGGATGCACCAACTCATTCCCCTGCCACCCTGCACCCTGCAGGACCCCCAAAGCCCACATGTCCCTGTCCGTTCGTCAGAGCAGTGGCTGAAGGTTGGTGCAGCTGGGCCAGCAGTGGGGGGCAGCCACCTCCCACACCCCCCTGCCCCTGCTCACCTCATTTGCAGTGACTCTCTGCATCCCCCGTTGGTCCTGCTCCCTGCAGCCACTCCTCAGCCCGAGCCCGCTCAGGGTCAGCGGGTGCCGTAGCTCATGCGCCGCTGCAGCTGGTTGAAGGGGACCAAATCCAGTTGCAAGTTGATCTGGTTCCTTTTTACCAGCCCCAGAAACACATCGTCTCTCCGGAGGCGCCGTCTGGACTCTGCTGGTGATGGGGGTTCTCGGCGTGGGGGTCCCAGCCCAAAAATACATACTTCTTAACATTCCATAGCACCGGCCGGCTCCATATGGGCATATGAAGAAGTATGTAGGGTTGGGAGGGAGAGGTGTGTGCCACGGGGCTGGGGGCATAGGGCATGGGGCTGTCCCTCTGCTGGATGTGTCCTCCAGCTCCAGGGAGATCCTGGAAGGAGCCCGTGGCTGTGGTGAAACCCAGGCAGGGGCTCTGGGGGTGCACCTCCTGCCCACCCCCAGTGCCACCGGCCTCTCTCCAGTGCAGCCCAGGCAGAGGCACTGTCCATATGGCCCCTGTGCCTGCAGGCACCCCACAGCTCCTCGTGTTTGGGGCCATGGCCAACCCACTTGTGCCTCAGACCCAGAGGCCCTTGGTGGCTGGAGAGTTCTCAGGCTGGTGTTTTGGGGGGTTTGGATGCCCTTTGAGGGTGAGGGGATGCAGCTGAGGCTCAGTGGTTTGGGCTGTGGGGGCACCTGTGGAGCTGCACATCCGAGCAGATGATGGCAAAGCCAAGGGCCGTGTCCTGTGAGCCCACACGGGCCAGCACGGACTGAGGGCAGAGGTGGGTGCCTGTGCTTGGAGCCACTTCCACAGGGGAATCTCCTTCAGCCCTGGCTCTTGGCTTGGCAGGGGTTCCCCTGCTGCTGCTGCTGCTGCTGTTGCTGCTGCACTGGGTCAGGATGCAACAACTCTGTCCCCTGCATCCCCCACGACCCCCAAACTCCACATCCCCATACCTGTCCATGTGCCAGAGCAGTGGTTCAGGCTGGTGCCCATGAAGCCAGTGTAGGGGGGCACTCACTTCCCACACCCCCATGCCCCTGTCCATCTCATCTGCAGGGCCAGGAGAAGGGCACAGGACCCCAGGCACTTCCACACCCTCCCCACCCAGCAGCTCTGGACTGGGAAGGCTGGAGTTGCCTTTGCCCATGGGAGGAGGGATTCAGCTGAGAGCTCAGAGGCTTGAAAGTCTGAGGGGGCTTTGGGGGACTCCCCACCCCCAGCACAGCTTGGCCATGGCAGGGTGACAGAGGGGACACACCTCGACTCCAGTGACTTTCACAGCCCAAAATCTGCAGCTGCAAAGGGACAATGGCAGGTGCAGGGAGTGTTCCTGAGTTCCCAGGGCTGCCTCCTCTCAGGACAGGGGAGCGAGGGGTGCATGGGGGTCCAGCTGTGGGACACCAAAACCCACTGAGGGATTGGTCGGACACGGCATGGCCGTGACTCAGCACTGGAAGC